CCCGGTCATTTGCCCAGTCCCCTTTCTGTTGCCCCGTTTTGGTTGCGAAAGCACGTCTGGTTTATTCCAAATCTATAAAAGTACTGCCAAGTGTATGCGTCAGTATTCATTGCTGGTTTGACTCTTGTTTGCTGAAGTCTTATTGAAATATACGTATTCACTTAACCAAGAAGTCTAGTTCACTTTATCCTGGCCATAAAGACTAGAATTCTTCTCAACAAAAAGGCCTATCCTGGAAAGTTGAGATTTTAGATTAATTGTTCAGTAAAGAAAGACATTTCTTTCTATGCAAAAGTGTCTTTAATCAATTCTTTCTCCAATTTGGGATAACAGAATTTGGCGCAGCCAAGTTTTCTTTTCTACCTGGGGTGAGTGCTTGTAAGCTTAAAAGTGCAAAAGTAGAAGTAAAAGTGCAAAGCTTAAAAGTTTTCAAAGAAAAAGTAGAACAAGTGCTCCAGATTTCCGCAGGTGCTTGCAAAAAGTGCCTTAGAATACGGTGTCTTGAAAAGTGAATTAGAAGTGAACGTAAAGTATTTTCTACACTATGGCAACCGGGACTTCCACAAACGTCTCTTCCCTCAACATGTCTCGTGTGCAAGATGTGAACACCTTTGTGGATAGGAAATTACTTGAAATGACTCCAAAGGAACAGTCAGAAGTAGCTGCTAAGAGAAAAGCGGAATTGGAAAAAGAAATTGAGAGATTAATGGGTCAACTTAATACGACTCCTGCCCCCTCTCAAGAAGTTAGAACAGAGCTTTAAAAAAAGGATTGATGATATTGTCACCAAAATATAGAATGAGTGTCCTGTGATAGGTTTACAATGATGCTTCCATATTGTCCGCATCTTACATCCCAAAACATAACAATACTTTTCTTGCCTAGCAATGCAGTTCCTAAACTGACTAGGTCATGACATTGTACTTTTACAGTGTCTGGTTTGCAGTCATTCCCTGTTGCCCCGTTGCAGTTCCTTTTGGTTGCCCCCATTGAATTGCATCATGCATGTCTGGTTCATCTCAAAACTACTTAAGGCACCACAAAGTGTATATTTGGTATTCATTGTTGGTCTGGCGTTGGTTGAAGCTATATAGAAATATACGTATCACATCTTTATAACAAGAAGTCTATTTTCACTTGAAAACCGGGTTACAGGAACAAAGAATCTTCTCGTCGGAAGTTTATCCTTGGGAATAAAATTGTTTTAGATTAATTGCTTCCAGAAGAAGACGTTCTTCCTGGTCTGTGAAAGTGTCTTTTATTGATTTTTCCCAAAATAAGGATAACATAATTTGGCGCAGCCAAAGTTTCCTTTTTACCCCGGGTGAGTGCTTAGAGTGCTAAAAGCTACAAGTTAATAGCTAAAAAGTGCTTTGAAGAAAAATAGTAGAAGACAAAGTGCTCCAGAGCTCCGCAGGTACATGCAAAAAGTACCTTTGAATACGGCGTCTGAGTGGTGGGCTACTTTTCAAAGTGCCCTGTACAATGGTGTTTATTTGGATGAGAGTATCCAATCCAATTTGTTGAGCAAGCTTTGGGGTGAAGCGCAGATCTATGTAACATCTATCCAAGGGTTGACTTCAGCCCATTACAGAGTAATAGTGAAGATGCTGCAGGATATGTTTGGGAGACGGGTGCTGATGAATCTGATGAAGGATCTCAAGAGAATGCAGCAAGCTCCTGGCAAGCAGGTCCAGACTTTTGGGGCTAGGGTCAGAAGAGCCGGCAACTTCCTCGTAGGCAACGCCCCAGGCAATTTAAAAGTAATTTGCTGGGAAAATCAACCTGCTGCCCTCCTGCTGAATCCCTTGAAAAAAAAAATTTTCAAACTTCAAAATTCCTTGGCAAAACATCAAACAAAGCACCATACAACCACCCAAAAGTGAGAAAATTGTGTGACGTTATCAAAAAAGCTTTCAAAAGCTTCAACCTTCAAAATTCCTTGGCAAACATCAAAGGAAGTACCATAACACAAAACACAAAGTGAGAAAAGTGTGTGACGTTATCAAAAAAGCTTTCAAAAGCTTCAACCTTCAAAATTCCTTGGCAAACATCAAAGGAAGTACCATAACACAAAACACAAAGTGAGGAAAGTGTGTGAAGTTATTAAAAAGCTTTCAAAAGCTTCAATATGCCTTGAGGAAGGCCTGTGAGATGGGTGGCAGCAAACCAAACGCGGAGGAGGATTAGCAGACCTCCCCCGCATTATGGAGAGCTCCCCGCAACACCTGCAAGTGAAAATGCATCAATTCAAATTGATGACAGTGCATTTACTATGGTCAATGTTCAAAGACCATCCCACTCATTTCAAAATGAGGCAGAACCGCTCCCTAATCCATCTGAGAGCATCTGCAGAGGACCAGGAAGGCCACCAAATCATTCCAGATTTTGGCAACCTTCCCCAGCACCATCAATGTCATCAAACGCAAGTACGTTAGTAGCTCCACATCGAAATATTATGGGACAAATTGTTTTAGTGGCACATGCAACACACATTTGTGATCAGGCATATCAAATGCATGTGGATTCTCAATAGTTCCAAATTTTTGTGGAACAACAACAAGTGTTCATCACTGCATCATCATATATTCTTTCCATCACGGGAACGTATTTCACTCTTGACCAAGAGTCAGAAATGCTTCAGTTTCAAGCTGAATTAAATAACATTATTTTGGTAACCCCGGAGGAACTTCAACAAAACTGGTTGTAATTGCGTCCACAGAGACAGTTTGTTTTGAGAGTCCGATTTTCCGACCCCCCTCAAGCACCACAAAATCAGGAGATTCTGCCAAATGCTGTACCTCAAGTACAGCCAATTCAGGTAAATGCAATCCCATCCAATATCAATCTTTTGGAGATTAAAGATGATGTTGATCCATACTGTTTGGCGGTACTCAGTTATGCATCCGCAACTACAATGCTCCAACCATCTCCGTATTTTATCCAAAGCTTGGAAAAGAAAACCTCACTGCCAACGTTCAAACGTTTTAGTGGCAAACTGGAAGATGAATACTCATTTGAGCGATTTTGGTTGCACTACAAAAAAATATATGTTATACCCTCCAGGTTCATTACTCCGGCTGAAAGAATTGAACTGCTCTTGCTGTACCTGGAAGGTAAAGCAAACAACATGGTTGATCGACAACCTGACAAAACCTAGGAAAAGGATTATTTGCAAATCCTTAAAATTCTGTTTGATGAATATGGAAACATTCAAAATACGCGACAACAAGTGCTTAAAATTTTTGATAATTTGAAGCCAACTTCATCATCACCAGAAGATTTGACTATGTACATGACTACGGTCATTGACATCACGACTCAACTACAAAATTTGAAATCCAACATGAAACAGGTTCATGTTCGCTTTTGGCCAAACATAAAAACCAATTTGACCAAAGCTGGACTTTTCAAAAGCATGACCCACAAACTCAAACTCAAACCACCAGATGTTGAGGAAAGTGAAACCTGGGATGATAATCCAGCAAATCAATACCATTGGATCAAAAACTTTGTGCGCGGAGAAGCGCCAGAAGATGAATCTACGGCAATGCCATTAACATTCCTGGGGGTCACAAATACCCCACATCAAGAATCACAAAAGAGAAACAAACTCAAAAAATCTTGTTCCTCTATGCCGACAAAGGAATCATCTTCTCGCAAACAGAAAAGGGACTCAAGCCCTAACAAATCCTATAAATCTGACAAATCCCGATCAGATCAAAGTTCTCAAAACAATGAAAAACAATCAAGGCCTCGAAGCCGATTGTCAAGTTCAGACGCATCACCACAAGCTCAATGCTCTCAAAGACAATCTAATTCCAGATCGCGTCAAGTGTATACAACAAATCCAACACAGCAAGTAATTGGAAAACAAACATTTTTCCATGCCCATTTTGCAACAAACAACATACAGCATTTGATTGTGATTTAACACAATATCAACGCCATAATGCTGCAACAAAGCAAAAAATTTGTTACAATTGCTTAAGCCCAGATCATATTCTTCCACACTGTGATAGCAAATATGATTGCTGACATTGCCAACATCATTTGGCTTTGTGTCAAAGCAACAACTCATCCCACAACAACAATAACAATCAGTTCAGATCAAATTGGCAAGCCGGGTCAAGACAATACAATCAAGCTGAAAGGAGCAATTTCAACCGCTTCAATCGCAACAATACAAATAATTGGTCTTCTTATAACCGTTATGATGACCAAAGACAAAATAACAACAACCAAAGAAATGACAACAGGAACAACTACAACAGAATGGAAAACAACAACAACCGCAATCAAAATAACTCCAATGACAGAAACAATCCAAATCAAAGGAGGGACAACAACAATCAACAAAATCCTCCATCTAATAATAATGCGTTTGACAGATTCATGCAAACGTTTTGTGAATGTTTTCCACAACCCGCCGCTGTTGCAGCTCCTGCAGTCAGGCCACCAGCAGCAGTTCCAGCAATTGCATGACTAGGGTATTCTAATACCACAAACTCATCTGTTCCTTATTCTTTGTTGGAAACCTCCACAGTACGCCTTCAGCCAAACAATGTTGAAGTCTATGCCTTGCTGGATACGGGATCTCAACTAACTTTGATTACGCAAGCACTTGTCAATCATTTGAAATTATCGGCAAAGCCTTCCCCAATTCCATATACAATCCCAGGAAAACCTAGCACAAAAATTTGGGGCAGGTCCAAAAAGGACACTGAAAGGATGCATCCAATTGAGAGTCCAACACCAAAAAATTTGAACGCGTACAAATGGGACACTTTGTGGACTGGTACATGAAGGGTCCAATGGGGACATGTCCCCAGGGGACGGTATGAGGAGGATGAAATGGACACGTCCACATTTGCAAGCATTAGAACGCATCCAAGGAAGACGCTTGTAGTACAGGTCCCTAGAGCGTCCAGAATGGACGCGTCCAAAAGATTTAAAATTGGATGCGTCCGGGCCGCGTCCAGAAAGGACGCTAGTGAGGTTTATTGCCAGCCGCCGGCAATAAACCTGGCGCCCGCAAGCTGGAAGCATTACAAGTATGACTCACTCCAACATCATGTGCATGTCCTGACTTGCAGAGGAAGGCTGAG